AACGGACACAGTGTGTCAGTGTAAACCGGGTCCTGCTGGTCCTCAGTCTGGGGCTCCAAGGTGGGAGGGACTGGTGAGAACAGGGCAGGGTCCACGTCTCAGAGGAATTAGGATGGGCCTGGTACAGGTACAAAGCAAGTTCTACCGGGGAGTCCACAGCGAGCATGGGGTGCCCAGCACTTCTCCTCCTCCTGACTGCTGCCAACCTGCCCGCCCCCCAACTGCCACTGCTCCCGGTTGGCACTTCTACTCTTTCTCCACTAAAATCCCCCTTCACCCAGCAGCTGGAGTGACATTTTGAAAATGTAAATCAGATCATGTCACCTTCCTGCCTAAACCCTCCATGGGCTTCCCCTGTGCTGATAGTAACATAATAACAACGGCAGCTGACACATTGTGCTTGTCAGGTGCCAGGCACTGTTCTAGGAACCTTACTCACAATAACTCATTTAATCCTCACAACATCTCTACAAGAAACACACTATTGTTATCACCCCCATTGTACGGATCAGAAAACTGAGGCACAGAAAGGTCAGTAAGTTGCCAGAGTCAACATAGATTATAATCCAAATTCTTTTTCATCCCCAGGTCTTTGCATGGCTGCTTCTACCTTATCAGTTGAGTCTTAGCACAAATGTCACCTTCACAGAGAGGACTTCCCAGATCACCTCATTTATAATGTGTCCCCATTGTCTATTACAACATCCTCCTTTCTTTTCACATCGCTTATCATTTTATTAGATTATGCCTTCATTTTCTTACATACTGACTTGTTTCTGTCCTGGCCCTATTCTCCCCCCAGAGCGACAGTGCCTTGCGAGCAGGGACCATGCCTCTCTTGTTCACCTTTGTAGTCCAGCTTCTGGCACAGGTGGATAGCAGGCCAATAAACATTTGTTAAAATGGAGGCAAGAGTGGAGGAAAGAGGGAAGGGAGGGGGGAAGGGAGAAGGCCTGAGCCTCCCTCCTATGACCAGAGTGAGAATGGGTCCTAGAGGAAGAGAGAATGGAGGCCAGAGAGGAAGAGAGACTCGGAAAGGAACTCAGGGTCCTGGAACTCTTCAAGGTGCAGCCAGGCCAGGCCCCTCACTCAGCTGGAAGAATGTTCCCCTGATTGGGGTTGTCATGTTTGGCAAATAAAAGCTCAGTTAAATATCAGATAAACAGCGAATTATTTATTTATTTATTTTTGTTAATCCTCACTTGAGGATATTTTCCCACTGATTTTTAGATAGAGTGGAAGGGAGGGAGGGGAGAAGAGAGAGAGAGAGAGAGAGAGAGAGAGAGAGAGAAAGAGAGAGAGAGAGAGAGAGAGAGAGAGAGAAACATCAGTGTGAAAGAGACACATCAATTGGTTGCCTCTTGCATGACCCCAGCTGGGGCAGGGGATCGAACCTGCAACCCAGCTACATGACCTTGACCGGAAATTGAACCTGAGACGCGTCAGTCCACAGGCTGACGCTCTAACCACTGAGCAAAACCGCCAGGGCTACAGTGAATCATTTTTAATATAAGTGAGTCATATGCAATATTCGGGATGTAATTACATTAACTTTTTTAGCTATTTATCTAAAATTCACATTTTCTTGGCATCCTGTATTTTATCTGGTGGCCCTATTCCGGGTCCTCACTTTGTGCTGAGTGCCATGGGAGATTCCACTGAGTACTAGTCTGTTTTTTTATGTGGAACATTTTGTTTTTAGTCCTAAATAAGGAAGTTCAATCTCATTATTGATTTAACAGAAGGAGAATATCTGTAGAAACAGCAGCATGTTAGAGGGGATTGGCGCCCCAGGGTGGATAAATACCACGGGGAAGGCAAGAAAGATGCCTTGTGCTGACCCGAGGTAGCTTCAGAACTGCCTGTGCCTGTGTCTTTGCTTCCCAGGTCCACGGTGGGCCTGAACGGGTTCTGTTGAGGAGAGCAGGAACAGAGTTGCTCAGCCCGGGAGGAAAAAATTTATGGGAATGTGGGCTTATTCTGGTGATTCACTCATTCATTCAGTCTCACTGAGCAGCTGGTGGCAGAAACTTAGAAATAAATAGATGAATATTTATTTCCCTGGAGGTTCTCCAGACTTAGGGAGATGGATCTGGACCCCAGGACCAACGAGCGATGCCTTCTAAACCTGTCCTCGTGGTTGAATGAAAAGAATGCATTACTTTCCATTCTCTCTCCTTCCCTTCCCATTATTATTTTTTTCTCTCATCTCCTCTTCTCTCACATTTTAGCCCGTTGTCACCTAATTACAAACCTAATCACTTTGTAACCAACTAGTACCATAAAGGAACAATGACTGGTACACTCAGGTTAGAGACCTGGCCCTTGCCTCAATTCCTTTGTCTCTCCAAGCCCACCCCATTCTTCCAGCATCCAGAGCTAGGTAGACAAAGCCATCTAACAGCCTGGAGTTCATATGCACTCCCTTTTCTGATTGGCTGATCCAAGCGCACTGCAGCCTCCACCCTTCCATGATGTTCCCCACCTTCCTGCTGAAGCCCCACGAGGTCCAGCATCCTGAGATCCTCAGACCTCTGCCCTGCTGCCTTGTCTGCTCGATTATTCCTTGATAAAGTGTCAATGGGTGATCCTTTCTGGTTTGAGGTCAAAAGACCTAGGCTCAAGGCTGGACATTTGCCCCTGACAAACTATGTGATCTTGGATGAGATCCTTTGCCTCTCTGAGACTCAATTTCCATGTCTATAAAGTGGGAATAATTCTCATAATGAGGGTCTTATGAGAATATTCTGCAGTGGATAATATGGACTCTTAAACCAGATTGCCCAGGTTCAAATCCTTCCTCTTTCACTTAACGGTGGAATGCCCTGAGCCAGTTTCCTGTTTATTTCCGTCTACTCATTTGGTTGCAGTGAGTCTGAAATAAGTCAACATGTGTAAAAATACCTAGAACGGTGCTTTGCATACAAGTGTCAAATAAATGTCAGCTATTATTGTAATGGAGATTAAAGTCCTTTGTCCATCTGTTATTAATATTATTATTGCCCAGTGAGTATTTGGGAGAAATCAGTTGAGTACAGCTATGGCTTGGGGGTGAGATATTCCTTAAGATGAGAGGCCAAAGGAATGAAACCTTAACCTCTTTGAGCCTCAATGTCTTTGTCTATAAAATGGCAATAACAACCTCATCTCTGCCTACTTCACAGGGAAGCTTGAGAACCAGTGATAAGCACTTGGAAAAATATTTGTTGAATGAATGAATGCGTGGATCACATGGGGTGGTAGTGGCAAGCTTCCCTGAGCAACATAACTGTGTTGACTTGTTGCCCATGAGACCTGACACGATGGAGACCCACCTAGGGCAATGGGTGAGTGCTGAGTTGAGCAAACAGGCTGGGTGGTGTGCTGGTCAGTTCTTCATATTTGTATAATAGGTACTCCTGTACTCACTTGGTGAGAGTGTAAATGTATTGGTACAGCGTTTTTGGAAAATCACATAGCACAGTTTAAAAGGTTAAACAAATTAACCTAGTGGTTTCATTTATAGGAAGTCATATACCAGATATCCCAGTTCAAATATGCCAAGATTTATATAGTGTATTCATTGCAACTCTTGGTAATAGTGAAAATTGGAAACAACTTAAATGTTCCTCAGTATGGCAGTAGATAAATAAATTGTGGTGTATCTATATTATGGACTACATAGCTATTAAAAAGAATGAAGTAAAGCTATAAATATTAACATCCAGAGGTATCAAGATGTATGGTTAAGTAAACAAACAGAAAAACTCAAGTTGACAGAGTTATGTATTTAATATAATAACATTTGTAGAGGGGGGGAGACTTATCTGTGTATCTGTATAGGAAATATCTGGAAAGCTACACAAAGTTAAGGTAGTTAAGAAAAAGAATAACTTAAAATTAAAAATAATTTGAGCCCTGGTTGGGTGTCTCAGTTGGCTGGAGCGTTTTCCTCTACACCAAAAGGCTTCGGGTTCCATTCCGCATCAGTGCACATAACTAGGTTGTGTGTTCCATCCCTCCGGCGCCTGGGGTAGGGGTGGGGTGGGGGACAACTTATAGATATTTCTCTCTCGCACTGATGCTTCTCTCTCTCTCTCCCTTCCTCTAACAGCATCAGCAACAGCAACAACAAAATCAACAAACATATCCTAGGGTTAGGATTTAAAATAAAAATTAATTTGATAAAAGAAAGAGCACCCTGCCCTGGCCGGTTTGGCTCAGCGGTTAGAGCGTCCGCCTGCGGTCCGGAGAGGCCCGGGTTCGGTTCCCGCTAAGGGCATGTACCTCGGTTGCAGTTTGTCCCCGGCCCTGGTTGGTCGTGCGGGTGGCAGCCACTCGATGTGTCCCTTTCACATCGATGTTTCCCTCTCTCTCTCTTCCTCTCTCTCCCTCCCACTCTGTCTGTACAAAAATTGGAAAAATGTCCTCGGATGAGGATTAAAAAAAAAAAAAAAAAAAAAAAGAAAGAGCACCCATTTAAAGCCCAGAGATCCTGTTTGTATAATCTGGGCAATGACACTGTGTGACTCAAGAAAACGTTATTCCATCTTTTGAGCGGAAGTTTCCTTTTGTGTAAACTGGCAATGATAATGCCTACCTCCCAGTATTGTGATGGGGTTAGATGAAATAATAAATGTGAAAACCCTTCTCAGAGCAGGGACAGATAATTATAGCAATCAGGGGGGGCATCTCGAAGCACAAGGCGGTAACCTACACCTTGAAAGATTTCGTAAGGTCTGGATTTGGTTTGATTCCTGGTTTTCTTGTCCCAACGTTCAACGGGGATTTATTTATTAAGGGTCTGATAAAGCGGACGTGGCCCTTCTAACCATTTACCTTCTGCTGTGAACGGGGGTCTGGCGCGTGTGCAATGACAGCAGCGCGGGCTGCGCTCCGCCTACGTACTACAACTCCCGGCAGGCTCCGCGCACGCCGCGGGCGCGTCGCCGACTGCTGTCGTAGCGCAGTAGCGCGGGGAATTTCGAGTGGCGGTGGATCGCGGAAGGCCAGTGGGCGGTGGGACCCCCAGCCGCCTTTGGAGAGGCTATGGACTCCCTAGTCGAGCCTCGGTGGCCTCCGGGCCTGGAAGTCATGAAGGTGAGTGCTTCGTGGCGGTTGGGGGCGCCCCGGTGTCAGCGGGAGGGCAGCCCGTCTGAGAGCACCCGGCGCGAGCGGCCGGCTTGGTTGGGCCAGGGTGCCCGGCTCTGCGCTGCCACTCGCTCACCCCGTGGCTCTGGGCCTCCTTTTCCTGGGGACAGGCCTTGGTCCCTCTTGGTGAGCTGAGGTTGGCGGTCCTAGGGAGCCTGGTATGATGCAGTTCAGCCACAACAATAACAATGACCTCGGGAAGAAACAGTTACTCTCGACAGTGCAAACGACGGAGACTGCTAACCCTTTCTGAGCATTTACTAGGTGCTAAGCATTATGTAAACTCTTGCAGTACAGTAGTTGAGAATTTCCGAAGTGACGCTGGGCATAATTTTGGGTAGACCTTGCATCAGAAAGCATTTATTTAATCACCTGGCGAAGCAGGTGGTCTCGTTTACATTCGCTTTCGTTTGTTCTAATTAACCTCGAGAAGCTTCGTGCTGGTTTACCCTGACTCCTCCCTAACTTGTCCTAACTCCTAACAGTTCTGCGTGCCTCTCTTTTAAACAAAGAGGTCAGGACTCAGGCTCAGCACCAGCCAGCCTTTCATTTAATTGAATTATTTTGCTTAAGTAATATTGATTTTTTGGCAAAGCATTTCAGTTTCCACTTGGATTAGTGGTGAGCCCAGGATTCCTGCTCTGTTTGGTCAAAAGCAAATACATTTTGCTGTAGGAATCAGTTGCTTGGTTTTTCTCCTTGCCGGCAAGACCACTTTGTCATTCTCTTCCTCAGTTTTGTAAATTTGGGGATTATGGTGTCTGCCCCACTGACTCCTAAGGCTGACTCTGAGGATTAACTAAAGGAGTTTGTGAGAGGTTAAAGAGGATTTATTCTTCCTGTCATCATCAGTGTCATCTATAGTCCTTGGGGACTCAAGAAATATCCTTTCTACAATGTTGCTTTCACCATGGGACTCCGGGGAAGCTGTGGTTTTCAAGTTGTGGCTTTGGCATTAAGGTGCAGTTGAGAAGAGCATAGATTTGAATTTCGATGATCCTGGGTTAAATCTGGTCCCTGCCTCTCGTCTAACTATGTTACTTTGAGTTAGTTACTAAAACTCTGAACCTGAATGTCTTCAACTATAAACTGGAGGCAAAAATAAACAGTTTATAGTGTTGGTTAAATGAATTGATGTGTGTGATAGGGATCCTTTCTGACTTACTCACTGTACTTAATGTGTGGCGCATAATGGATGGTCAAAATTATTTGCCAGGTGATTGAAGGTACCTGGAAGTTAAGCATTCAATTGATACATCTTATTATTTAGTTCTTAACATATGTTGATTTTTCAACACTTTTTTATTTGTTGTTGTGAAGATTGAATTAGATAAAGGAAGTGAAAGCTCTGTAACTTGTAAAACCACCTGTTTGTAGATTTAAGCATATTTTATGTATTCCTACATCTTCCAGTGTTCTTTAGAGGCAGATTCCACATCTTCTGTGGCTTTGATAGCGCATCACAGCACTGAATTGAGGGTTCAGCACCAGAGGGTGTTCAGTGATAGAGCTGACTGGGTCCATATTAGAATCATGAATTCTTAAGGTTGGGAAGCCAGCCCCTTCTGGTGTTGTAATCCCTTTTATAATGTATTCTGCCAATATCTCATCTCGTTTTTGCTTGAACTCTTCCAGGGACAAAAAATTAGCTACTCCCAGAAGTAGCTCTGTTTGAAGTTCTTTCTTATATTGAATAGAAATCTGACTCCAGATCCATGATTTCTAATCTAGGATCCATGGAAAGACTTTGGTAACTGGATTATTTATAAAAATTTTGTCAGTTTGTGTGCTTTTTTGAGAAGAAGTCCATAGTTTTTTTTTTGTTTGTTTGTTTTTTATCCTCACCTGAGGACATTTTTCCATTTTTTGTTCAGATAGAGCAGGAGGGAGAGAGAGAAAGAGAGAGAGAAAGAAACATCATTGTGAAGGGACACATCGAGTGGCTGCCACCCGCACGACCAACCAGGGCCGGGGACAAACTGCAACCGAGGTACATGCCCTTAGCGGGAACCGAACCCGGGTCTCTCTGTACCGCAGGCCGACGCTCTAACCGCTGAGCCAAACCGGCCAGGGCGAGAGTCCATAGTTTTAATCTATTTTTCAAAGGGACCTGTGACCCCAAAAACGTAAAAATCTTTTCTCTGATTATTGTCTTTTCACCCATCCCCTAAAGAAATCCTGGGGCATCCACTTGACCATTTTCTATTTGGGTTGAGGCACATGTGGCGTGCGTGTTACTCTCTTGAAATGGCGTGACTGGAAATTCATCCAAGAATGTTATAGCTCATTCGATGGGGTGTCACCTTCCATAGATCTCACTCAGCAGGTCTGTCAGACTACTTCACCAGAAGAGGATGGTTAGATAGAAGATGCCAGGGCTCTGTCTTCCAGTTCTGCCTCTGCTCTCAATCAATTTTCAGCATAACCCTCTTGCTTTTTGTGTCATTGATAGCTTACCATAAAACATAATGGAAGGTTTTGGTATTTTAATGTTTATTTCCCTGGTTTAACTATAACAAAAATTTCTGGCTTTGACAGGTTATAAATGTATGTGTGTATGGTAGAAAAAAAATTAACCGTTTTTTGTTTTTTTTTTAATCCTCATCCGAGGACATGTTTCCATTTTTTGTACAGACAGTGTGGGAGGGAGAGAGGAAGAGAGAGAGAGGGAAACATCGATGTGAAAGGGACACATCGAGTGGCTGCCACCCGCACGACCTACCAGGGCCGGGGACAGACTGCAACCGAGGTACATGCCCTTAGCGGGAACCGAACCCGGGTCTCTCCGGACCGCAGGCGGATGCTCTAACCGCTGAGCCAAACCGGCCAGGGCGGTAGAAAAAAAATTAAGATTCAGGGTAAAAGAAAAGACTAAATGAAAGTTACCCGTCATCCTATCTTCTAACTACTGTTTGATGTTTTCTTTTGTTTTCCTTCATTTTATCTTGTGTGTTCATGCACACACGTGTCCACAATGTGAATATGCATTTAAAATTTGGGATTACTTTGGAGTGAGTTAACTTCTTGGGTTTGATCCAGTCATTTTTTTTTTTTTAATCCTCACCCGAGGGGGGAGATATATATATATATATATATATATATATATATATATACACACACACACACACACACACACACATACACACACACATTTTTTTTTACATTTATCTTCAGACAGAGTGGGGGGGGGAGAGAAACATCGATGTAAGAGAGACACATTGACTGGTTGCCTCCCACACAACCTTAACCAGGTCCGAGGACCAAAAGAAACCGAGGTATGTGCCCTTGGTCAGAATCGAACCCAGGACTCCTTGGTACACAGGCTGATACTCTAAATGCTGAGCCAAATTGGCCCAGGCTGATCCAGTCATTTTTATTATTATTACTATTTTTTATTTTTATTTTTTTTATCCTCACCTGAGGATATTTTTCCATTTTTTGTACAGATAGAATGGGAGGGAGAGAGAGGAAGGGAGAGAGAGTGAGAAACATCATTGTGAAGGGACACATCGAGTGGCTGCCACCCGCACGACCAACCAGGGCCGGGGACAAACTGCAACCAAAGTACGTGCCCTTAGCGGGAACCGAACCCCGGTCTCTCCGGACCGCAGGCCGACGCTCTAACCGCTGAGCCAAACTGGCCTGGGCGATCCAGTCATTTTTAAGCTCTGTAGTCTTAGTCTACAAAACTGGGATACAGATGCTATAGACTTTATAGGATCCTTATGGAGGTTACACTGTTATTATGTACTGTTACAGATTTGTTCTCAGTTTTTTTAAGTTTCCATTAAAACATAAATGTTTTCCCATGGCTTCTTTGAAAGCATGTTTTTTGTTTGTTTCTTTTTTCATGGCTACATTATATCTCATCATATGGACTATTAATGACATTAGTCTTTTTTTGTTTGTGTTTTTAAGATTTAGGTAATATGGTCACATGGTTAAAAAAATACATGAAATGAAAAGTAAAAGTCTGCCTCCCAGCTTGTTCCTCTTCTATACAGTTTCAAAACCCCTGTGACCATTATTTATTACTTTCTTGTGTATCTTTTCAGAATTTCTTTATACCCATATACAGGATAAAAATAGAATACATTTTTAAAAAATATTTTTATTGATTTTTAGAGAGAGAGAGAGAAACATCGATGTGAGAGAGATACATTGAGTGGTCGCCACCCACACAACCCCAACCAGGGCCAGAGACAAACTGCAACCGAACCCGGGAAGCTCTGGTCTGCGGGCCAACACTCTTAACTGCTGAGCCAAACCGGCCATGGCCAGGTTGACACACATCTGACTTTCCACATTGTCCACTTCTTCACCTCCCTCTGCTGTCACTGGCCCCAGGCTTCTCAGGGCTTTCCCATTTGGCTCCACTGTAGAACCATGCTGAAGCCAGTAGGGAGACAGGGAGCTTAGTCCTGGCTGGACTCATGCCCCATATGTGTGCTTGCTCTGGATACAAGTTTCCTCATTTGTGAAGTAAGAGGTTTAACTAGATAATTTCTGGTGTTTGGCTTTAATATTCTTTGATTTGTTGTTGTTTTTTATTACTCAGCTGGGGATATTCTTCCATTTATTTTTAGATAGGGAGGGGGAGAGACAGAGACAGAGACAGAGACATCGATGTGAGAGAGACACATCAACTAGTTGCTTCCCTCACAACCCGACCAGGGCTGGGGACCAAACTGCATCTGAGGTATGTGCCCTTGACCGGAATTGAACCTGAGACTTTTTGGTTCATGGGCTGATGTTCTAACCGCTGAGCAAAACTGGCCAGCACCTGATTTGGTTTTTAACTTGTGTGCTGACTGGTTATTGGTACCTTTTCCCTAGCAGTGACTTTGGTGGGGTCTGAAGAGGAGGAGACTTGGAGTAGGAACTGCAAACACTTGGGAAGTGGAACAAGAATAGACTAGTCCTTTGGTGAAGTAACAATATGCATAGGAATCTGTGCATTGTCAGCTTAATCTGTCTAAAGTGCTTTGGGTAATCTAAAATTTGAATATGTATAAGAGTCACGGGGGGGGGGGGGGGTTCTCTATTTGTTAAGATTTCCTGAACTTTATGTGGAGTTTGCATATTTGACAAGTATTATTATTATTATTATTTTTATCCTCACCCGAGGACATCTTTGCATTCATCTTCAGATAGAGTGGGAAGGAAAGAGGGGGAAGAGAGAGAGCGAAACATCAATGCGAGAGAGACACACACACTGAGTGGCTGCCACCTACACAACCCCAACTAGGGCCCGGGACAAACCGCAACCAAGGTAGGCACCCCCAGTGGGAACCAAACCCAGGACTCTCCGGTCCACAGGCCAATGCTCTAACTGCTGAGCAAAACCGGTGAGGGCCAAAGAAGTATTATTAAGTTATTTTTTTAGGGGATGGAGAAAGGGTTCTGTGCCAGACATTCTAATCTTGGTGTCTTTCTGATCCATGTATATGTGTATTTGCATTTCAGACAGTAGATGATTTGCTGCGGTGTGGAATTTGCTTTGAATATTTCAACATTGCAATGATGATTCCTCAGTGTTCACATAACTGTAAGTATGTACTGTTTTTGTGAATTAGTAAAAATGAGATTTTTTTATATAAAGTAGTATTAATTTAACACTAAAGATAAGTACACATTTATTTCTCACTTTAAGCTTCATCTTGAAGTTTTTAGGTGTTTTCTACCGTTTCCTCTTGAATATTGAAGTTTTTATAAAGCCTTTTATATATTTTCTACCACCTCCCTCTGGGATAGTTTGTTTTATGCCTTTTATAACATTTATGGCAGTAAAGATTTTGGTTAAGGTCCTTTATTTGCCAAGTACTTTTAGATGTTAAATTTCAGAATTTTTGTTTTTCGCATGATAACAGATAGATGGTTCAACTAGGTAGTAGTTTGTGGAGAGTTTCAAAGTTTAAAAATCCTAATAGGAGAATTCTGCCACTGAATAGTATTACAGTTTTTTGTTTTTTTTTCAATCCTCACCCGAGGACATTTTTTCATTTATCTTTAGATAGAGTGGGAGGGAAAGAGAGGGAGAGAAAGGGAGAGAGAGAAACATCACGTGAGAGAGACACATCGACTGATGGCTTCCCGCACAACCTCGACCAGGGCCGTACAACCTCCACCAGGGCCGGGGCCAAACCACAACCAAGGTACATGCCCTTTGCCAGAATCAAACCGGCAACAACTTGGTCTGGAGGCTGACGCTCTAACCATTGAGCCAAACCAGCCAGGGCTTTTTTTTTTTTTTTTTTTAATCTTCACCCAAGGATATTTTTCCATTTATCTTTAGAGTGGGAGGGAGGGAGGGAGAGTGAGATACAGACAGGCACATCAGTTGGCTACCCACCCCCCGCAGGACCCCAGGCAGAATCAAAACCGAGACTGGTTTGCAGGCTGATGTTGTAACTGCTGAGCCAAACTAGCCAGGGTGAATAGTAGTATAGTTTTATCACTTAACTTGCTATGTGATGCTGGACAGACTGTTATATTAGAGTCTGCACTTCTCTTTATGAGTCTAGTGTGCATTTTTTGTACTTGATGTATTTAACACATAGTGGTGAATTTGTTATTGTTCAAGAGCTGGCTATTTAGTTTGTGGATTACTTAAGTTCATTATCTTTCTGGCCTCTATTTTTAAGTTGATTTGTCTTGGAAAGTTAAAAAAACAACAGCCAACAGGGTTGACTTTGAAATAAGTGGTTTGTTTTAGTGGGTTGTAAGCTTTGGTGGAAAAGTTTCTATAGAGAAGACAGGATGATGGTGTTAGCAACATGGGCATGAGAGAGATACTTAGGCTTGACTCTTGACTCCCACTTACTAGGTTGATGAGTTTGCCCAACATTTCTTCAAAGGTAAACATCTGGTGAGCATTTTCTACCTTAGAAGATGATTGTGAGAATTAACTGTGTAGAGCCCAGTGTCTGGCACATTATAGGCCCTTAATAAATGTTAGTTTTTTTTCTAGGCCAGAACATTGATAACCAAGGTAAGTTTTGGGGATTGTTTCTAAATATGTGTTAAAAGCATGTTTATTTTGGTATAATTTACATAAAATAACATTCATTTTAAGTGCATAATAAAGTGTACAGATGTTAGTGAGTTTTGACAAATGCATATACTATGTAACCATTACAGTTAAAATACAGAACATCTGTCATCTGACTGAGTTCTCCCCATCTCCGTTAATATGGCTGCAGGCAATCATGTGTGGGCCGGTTTCTGGACTCTTTTCTGTTCCATTGGTCTACATGTCTGTTCTTGTACCAATACCATCTTGTCTTAATTGCTGCAGCTTTTAGTAAGCCTTGAAGTCAGGCGTTGTAAGTATTCCAACTTTGTTTTTCTTTATTGAAATTATTTGGGTTCTTTTAGTATCTTTGCATTTTACGTGCATTTCCATATAAATTTCAGAATCAGATTGCATATTTCTGCAAAAAAGCCTACTGGGATGTGCATTGGAATTGCACCGAATCTAGAACTCAATATGGGGAGAATTGTTTTAATAGTGTTGAGTGTTTGGTATAGGAACATGGTATATTCTTCCATTCTTTAGCTTTTCTGTAATTTCTTTCCACAATGTTGTTTAGTTTTCAGTGCACAGGCCTTGCACATAGAAGTACAATTTTTATATGGACCTTTTATCTTGTGTTCTTGCTAAATTCGTTTTTAATTCCAGCAACTTTTTTTTACTGATTCCTTAGGAATTTTTACATACACATGCATTGTCTGAATAAAAACAGTTTTATTTCTTCCTTTCTAATCAGTATGCCTAATATTTCTTTTTCTTGTTACACAGGCTAGTGCCTCTAGTACAATGTTAAGTAGAAGTGGTGTGGGTGGACATCCTTTCCTTATTCCCAGTTTTATGGGGAAAGCATTCAGTATTCTAAGTACGCTAGCTAAAGTTTTATCACGTCCTTAATACATTTTCATAAGTTGATCAGTTTGAGGCAGTTCCTCTATGTTCTTAATTAGCTGAGAGGTTTTGTTTTTTAAATGAATGGGTATTGAATTTTGTCAAGATTTTTTTCTGCACTTATGGAGATACTCATATGATTTACTTCCTTTATTTATATTAGATTAATTACATTGATTGACTTTGGAATGTTAAAATGACCTTGAATTTCTTTCAAGAAATTTGTCCAGCCCTGGCCAGTTTAGCTCAGCAGTTAGAGCATTGGCCTGCGGTCCAGAGAGACCCCAGTTCAGTTCCCGCTAAGGGCACATTCCTCGGTTGTGGTTTGTCCCCGGCCCTGGTTGGTCGTGCAGGTGGCAGCCACTCGATGTGTCCCTTTCACATTGATATTTCTCTCTCTCTCTTTCTCTCTCTCCCTCCCACTGTATCTGAACAAAAAATGGAAAAAAATGTCCTCGGGTGAGGAGAAAAGAAAAGAAAGAAAGAAAGAAATTTGTCTATTTAATCTAAGTGCTTGAGTTTCTTGACATAGTTTTTAATACTCTTCTCTATTGTCCTTTTATGTCTGGAGGATTGGTAGTGACATCCCTTTTTATTTCATATGCTAGAAATGAGTATTTTATTTTTTTCCTTGATCTAGTTAGAGGTTTGTCAATTTTATTTCTCTTTTTAATATATATATTTTTTGGTACGTGCTCCTAATGGGAACCGAACCCAGGATTTTCTGGTCCACAGGCCGACATTCCAGTCACTGAGCCCAACTGGCCAGGGCCTTTTTAATATATTTTTATTGATTTTTTTTTTTTTTTTTTTTGAGAGAGAGAGAGAGAGTAACATCAATGTGAGAGAGAAACATGGATCGGCTGCCTCCTGCAATGTCCCCACTGGGGATTGAGCCAGCAGAGCCTGGGCATGTGCCCTGACTGAGAATCGAACCGGGACCTCTCAGTTAGTGGGACGATGTGCAATCCACTGACCCACACCTGCCAGGCTTATTGCTCTTTTTAAAGTCCCAACTTTTGGTTCATTGGTTTTTGTATTTTGTATTTTTTCTATTCCACTGCTTTCTACTTTATCTTTTTTTTTTTTTTATCCTCACCCGAGGACACTTTTTGCATTTATCTTTAGATAGAGTGGGAGAGAGAGATGCAGGGAGAGAGAAAGAGAGAGAGAAACATCAATGTGAGAGAGATACATCAACTAGTTGCCACCCACACGACCCCAACTGGGGCAGGGACAAATTGCAACTGAGGTACATGCCCTTAGCGGGAACCGAACTCGGGATTCTCTAGTCTGTAGGCTGATGTTCTAACCGCTGAGCCAAACCGGCCAGAGCTATACTTTTTTATCTTTTCTATTTTCTTCCTTTTACTTATTTGAGTTTAATTTGCTCTTTTATTTCTAGCTTAAGGTAGAAGCTTAGATCATTGATATTAGATCTTCTTTTCTAATGTAAGCATTTAAAGTTGTAAATTTCTCCCTGGCTGTTTTGGCTCAGCGGTTAGTGCGGTTTGTCCCTGACTCTGGTCGGGTCGTGTGGGAGGCCAACCAGTTGATGTGTCTCTATCACATCTGTATTTCTCTCTGTCTCTTTATCCCTCCCTCCCTCCCCCTCTATCTAATGATAAATAGAAAACTACCCTCGGGTGAGGAATAAAAAATGAATAAAGTTGTACATTTGCCTCTGAACCCTGCTTTAGCTGCATCCTGCACATTTTGATATGTTTTATTTTTATTCAGTTTAAAATATTCTAAATATAAAGATTTAGATTTTTTTCCAAATATGTGATTTTTTATTTGCTCCATGAGTTATTTAGAAGTCTGTTCCAAATATTTGGGAGTTTTCCTGATATCTCCCTATTGCTAATGTGTAATTTCATTAAGTTCTTGTTGGAAAACATAATCTTCAAACATTATCTAGTTTATGACACAGCAATATGGTATTTCTTCGTTAATGTTTCATGTATACTTGAAAAGAATGTCTATTCTGTAGCTGGGTGGAGTGTTCTATAAATATCAGTTAGGGCAAATTTGTTGATAGTGCTCTTATGTCTTCTGTATCTCTGTAGCCTCCCTACTCTGTAGTTTAACAATGCTGAGAGAGGTGTGTTGAAATCTCCCATTATAATTGTGGATTTGTTTATTATTTCACTTCCATCACTTTTTGCTTTATGTATTTTGAATTGCTTTTACTAGATGCATACATATTTATGATTTTTTTGTCTACTTGATGAATTTACCATTTTATCATGAAATGGTCCTTTTTACCCCTGGTGATATTCCTTGTTCTGAAGTCTACATTTTTTCCTGATATTAATGTAGCTGCTCCCACTTCTTTAACTTTAGTGTTTGCATGGTTTAGCTTTTTCTGTCTTTTACTTCTAACCTGTGTGTTTCTTTATATTTAAATTGAGCTTTTTATAAACAACATGTATTTGGCTTTTGCCCTATAAGGCAGTTTGACAGTATCTGTTTTTACTTGGAATATTTAGACCTACACTATTTAGTATCATAGCTGTTAGCCACATGTGGCTGCTTACATTTTAATTAAAATTAATTAAAGTTAAATAAAACTACTTTCTCAGATCTCACAGATTTTATAGACTGCCTTCATTAAGGAAAGACCACTAGTCAGCCCAGCTAGAGATTCTAGAGGTGTCTTAAACCTTTTCTGTGGATGTATCTTCTCTGGACTTGTGAGTGTAAATTCCCAAAGGACTTAATGCTGCCTGTTTTATCTTTTTTATAACTTGTTCTTTCGTTTTTCCTCCTGGGTACTCTTACTAAGGCTGGTACGACTTTTCATGTACTGGATATCTGTATATGAAATCATATTGTCTTTTCCTCCTTCACTAAACTGAATCCTTTTTTTTTTTTAAACTTAACCCGAGGATATTTTTTTATTTATCTTCAGATAGAGTTGGAGGGAGGGAAAGAGGAAGAGAGAGAGAGACAGAGAGAGAGAGAAAGAGAAACATTGATATGAGAGAGGCACATCAGTTGGTTTCCTCCTGCATGACCCCAACCGGGGTGGGGATGAACCACAATCGAGGTACGTACGCTTGGTCAGAATCGAACTCAGAACTCTTTGATCCGTGGGCCGGTGCTCTAACTGCTGAACCAAACTGGCCAGGGCTGATTCCTTTTTTTTAATCCTTTCCTGAGGACACTTTTCCATTTTGTTCAGATAGAGTGGGAGGGAGAGAGAGGAAGAAAGAGAGAGAGAGGAAGGGGGAGAGGGAGAGAAACATCAACGTGAAAGGGACACATCGAGTGGCTGCCTCCTGCACAACCCCAACCAGGGCTGGGGATGAATCACAACCAAGGTACATGCGCTTGACCAAAATTGAATTTGCGACTCACTGGTCCAAGAGCCGATGCTCTAACCACTGAGCAAAATTGGCCAGGGCTGATTCCTTTTTTTAATGAAACCCCTTCACTAAGCTTAATTTAGGCTAATAGCACATTGTCTACCAGTAAAGATACCATTCTGTTAGTCATATCTATATTTTTCTTTTTTTTAAAAATTTTTTTATTTATTAGTTTTTGTTAGGTTTTGTTATAGATGTTCCTCATTTTTCCCCTATTGACACCTTCCTCCCCTTCTCCCCCTGCCCCATCTCCAGCTTTGTTGTCTATATTCATTGGTCATGCATACATACATGTAAGTTCTGTGGTTTATCTCTTCCCCCACAAACCCCCCCCTCCTCTGAGGCTTGTCAGCCTGAACCCCACCTCCATGTCTCTGGGTTAATTTTGTTCAGTTTGTTTAAAGTTCATTATATTCCACAAATAAGTGAGATCATGTGATATTTTTCTTTCTCTGCTTGGCTTGTTTCGCTTAGCATAATATTCTCCAGGTCCTTCCATGCCATCTCAAAGGATAAGAGATCTTTCTTTCTTACAGCTGCATAGTATTCCATTGTGTATATGTACTACAGCTTTTTAATCCACTCATCTACTGATGGACACTTGGGTTGTTTCCAGATCTTAGCTATTGTAAATAGTGCTGCTATGAACATGGGGGTGCATATATTCTTTGATTGGTGTTTCAGGTTTCTTAGGGTATATTCCTAGAAGTGGGATCACTGGGTCAAATGGCAATTCAATTTTTAATTTTTTGAGGTAACACCATATTGTTTTCCATAGTGGCTGCACCAGTCTGCATTCCCACCAGCAGTGTATTAGAGTCCCCTTTTCTCCACACCCTCGCCAACACTTGTTTTTTGATGATTTGTTGATGGTGGCCATTCTGACAGGTGTGAGGTGATACCTCATTGTTGTTTTAATTTGCATTTCTGCAAGGCTGACAAACCCTGTCTTGCCCCATCGTGGGGGCGGAGGGGCGCCGGGGGCCTCCCACTTATGCTACACCTCTCATGTCTCTTCACCATGCCAGACTAGAGTCAAGCTCAACAGGGTCTTCTTTCCCCGCTGATTCTGCCAAGTCCATTCTCTTGGCTGTGGTTTGGCTGGATAGTAGGTGGGGACAGTGGGAATCTCGTTCATCCATTCATGCATGTCACTGATTAGATGACGAGGCATTTGGCTACCTTAAGAGAATCATAGTTACTCCCGCCATTTACCCGCGCTTCATTGAATTTCTTCACTTTGACATTCAGAGCACTGGGCAGAAATCACATAGCATCAAAACCCGCCGCGGGCCTTCGCGTTCATATCTATATTTTTCTTTGGAAGATCATCTTACAATGCCTTGGGTGTGAAGAATTTAGTTAATATCAATTTCCTGCTTAAATAGATAGGCCTTATTACATTGTAATTGCTTCACTATTTTGTTAGCTTCTTGAGGTCAAGGACCTTCCATTATATATTGTTCTTTTCTTTTCTTAAAAAATTTTCCCCACAAGGAAGAACTTGCTGTTGGTAATCCCAGTGCCTCCCCCCCCCCCTTTTTTTATTGCTTTTTAGAGAGGGAGGGAGAGGGGGAGAGAGAGAGAGAGAAACATCGACGAGAGAGGACATTGATTGACTGCCTCCTGCATGACCCACACAGGGGATTGGGCCCACAACCTGGGAATGTGCCCTGACTGGAAATCGAACTGAACTGGCGACCTTTTGGTGCATGGGTGGACACTCAGCCACTGAGCCCCACTGGCCGGGCTGTACTGTTAAATGTGGGGTGATGGACATCTTTTATAGAGTTAGGATGTCGAAATCCTAATGGATGTATATTTGTTTTTTTCAAAATTTATATTTTAGAATGTTAGTAGAAATAGCTGATATATCTATTTTTATTTTTATTTTTTTGGTTAATCCTCACCCCAGGATATTGTTCCATTAATGTTTAGATAGAGTGTAAGAGAGGGAGAGGGAGAGAGGGAGAAAGAGAAAGAAACATCGATGTGAGAGAGACACATCAATTGGTTGCTTCCCACATGACCCTGACTGGGCCTAGGGATCTAACCTGCAACCCAGGTACGTGCCCTTGATCGGGAATCGAACCTGAGACCCTTCGGTATGAGGATCAACGCTCCAACCACTGAGCCAAAGCAGTCAGGGTGATATCTGACATATTTATACAATATCCATCATCCCAGGTCTTACATGTATGTTTCCTATGTTTGATATATGGAGGATATAGAGAGTGATGTGTGTTGCTATGGAGTTGTGATGTCCTAGGGACTCATGATTATTATTATTTGATATGTTTCTCTCTCCTAAAAATGCTATTTAATCACATTTGTAATTGTGCATAGGTAGAGTAGAGGTACTAGAAGTTTGAAATTATAATGCTATACCTTAGATGATAGAAATACTCTACAACTTAAGTCAGATTTTGTTAGAAGTCAAATTTGTGTTATTAATATAGCTTAACTAATTTGTGTTGCATTTATGTTTTTGCAGACTGTTCTCTCTGTATAAGGAAATTTTTGTCCTATAAAACACAGTGTCCAACTTGTTGTGTGGTAAGTTGTTCCTTCCTTTTTATTTAAAAATTATTCATTGGTGCAAATATTTCTGCCTCGTGTACGCAAGGGAAGATGTATAATTATTGAATTAAGCTACATAAAAGACATTTTCAGAAAGGACCTCTAAGACACATCTGTGGAGAACTGGGCTTTAAGTTTTTATGGAGATTTCTGATAACCTAAATATATTTTAGGAAGAAAAACTAATTTTTAAGGTCAGAATGTAGTGCTCATAAATATCAAGACCCATGTTTTTATGGCTTTTCATTTTTTATTCTTTCTCACATTGGATAGAAAATCTGTGATGGTAGGATTATTTATTTGCAGGTGACTGGTGTAAGTATCTGTGGAGAAGGCAAAGATTTATGCCATTGGGCTAAACCCAGCCTGACTGGTTGATCCCTTACCTCTTTCCCAAAACAGACCTTCAGGGACAAACACTAGGAAGTTTGTTGTTCATGGTTTCTGAAGCTTTTCAAGTGGTGGAAGTAGATGAAAATGTAGGTTAAAAGGGAAAGTAAACATAAGTAGCAGTAAAGAAAGAAGTAAAAGAGATGGTAAGGTCTGACAAAAAGGACAGTTGGGCTGGTTAAAGGGCTTGGGTTGTAGTTCTGGAAGGTGCATGGTGTCAGGATGTCATTGAACTTCTCTGAGCTATTACGTAAAAACCCTGTGTAAGAAATGATAATTTGTTTCTCAAGTCTGAACTCTTACAACTTTAGGCACACTGTCTTGGTCAAGATGGTATCATCATGGAGATAAACAGTATACCATTTATGCGAAATAACTACTGGATTTACCAATTTCTTCTTGCATTCCTGAAAACCAGTCTTATATGTAAGCTCTCTGTGGACACCTAATGTTTCTCCCAGCATTATCACTAAGAGCATCTCTTCTGTTCTTCAGGAAAGATGTTTGGTAAAGGGCTGGCATTCTCGCTCATATTAGGTTTTTTTTTTTGGTACGTGTCCCTAGCAGGAACTGAACCCGGACTCTCTGGTCCGCAGGCCGATGCTCCAACCGCTGAACCATACCGGCCAGGGCTCATATTAGGTTTTATCTTAGTGCAGTGTAATTTTACCATATGCTATGGAGAGCTTTTATCAGACCTCCAGTCAGCTGATACTGATTCAGTGTTTGTAAATACCGAATTAGTATGAGATAAATGAACTTTATTTTGAGGCTTTCCTGGAAGACTTAATGGGATGGGGAGTCTCAGGAGGATGGGTCACACATTTTCCAAAACAAGATTATGACAAGTGAATTATTGTTCCTGACTTTTTTCCCATCTGTTGTTTTTCTTTTCTAGACAGTCACAGAGCCAGACCTGAAAAATAACCGCGTGTTAGATGAACTGGTAAAGAGCTTGAATTTTGCACGGTATGATTTGACTTTGTGACTAATCCCTAACTACTTCTACCTTTTGTGTCTCTCTGTACTCTGCACTTGTGGGGATTAGGGAATGCAGGGTTGCATATTTGGGGTAAAGAATGGAAGCAGCAACTAATCACACATGAACAATTTAGTGGGAATGGGATTTTCTCCCTTTACCTAACAAAAATCTGCTTGTTATGAAAAACAAGTTAAAATGCAGATTTGAGCATGCATGTACTTTTGGACTACAAAAATACTCTAGCTTCATTTTTTATTTTTCCTGACCTAATCCTACAGTCAGCCATTTCCCCAAGGAGCTCTGGTTCCTTTTATTGGAGAAAGGTGTTTAGAAATCAGGATCTGGAGTGGACTGTGCTCATTGTTACTGGGGTAGCATTGTTTCTAGGCCCTCTTCATGGACAGCTGGGGGACATTTGCATGTATATTTATGTGTTTACTAACCATGTACACGCATATATCTATAATTGTTTCTGTATCTATTACATGTTAATCCATTCATTTTAATCTGATTTACTTAGCATGTATAAAATGATGTGCCATGTGAAATACGTAGTAGTCACTTTATTAAACTCGGAAATGTAGCTTTACTTCTTAACTGACAAATGCATGATGGAGAATGTGAGTTTGGTCACCCAAAGGGATATAAAAAGGTATGTTTTACCAAACAGTATCATGAATTATTTTTAGTTTTATTTATTTTTTATTTTTAAAATTTTTTTGGTATGTGCCCCTAGCGGGAACTGAACCCAGGACTCTCTGGTCCTCAGGCCGACACTCCAACTGCTGAGCTGAACCGGCCAGGGCTATTTTTAGTTTTAATCATGCAAGTCAAGCAGGAATTGTTATTAGGTATATACTGTGTTTAGTTAATGATAGGTGTCCACATACTGAAGAATGCTTTTTGGAGAGCATTCTTAGAGGTACATTACATTGCTTCTAAAAACGTAAAGAGATTCTTTCCAGTAGAATTGCACAATTATTTATCCTAAAAAATGATCAAGTTTAGTTCTCTGAACTTACCCAATATGACATTCTAGAGATTGGCTGGTTAGTTATTTCCATAAGCAACGTCATAAAAAGGTGGTATGCTTTCCTAGGTTAAGAAACACTGAGATTCTCTGGTTCTCGTAATTAAAAGTTACTGCTTTTTTATTTTAAAGTCGTTCACCAGTTAGTCTTTCAGTCAGTTATATTTTGAAATCCATGAGAAAAGATGGAGTCATGTCTTAGGAAAGGAACTTTTGAGACAGTAAAATTGTATCTTAGGTTTATGTATTTTTTTCTTCAGCTAGTACTGAAAACATAACAACCTCCCTGCTAGGAAAAAAGGAGTGTTACAAAGAATAGCATCCATTTGTGCAAGAGAAACAGGCAGTATCTTTGGGTTCACAGACCTTTTGGTAACTTAAAGGGAGGCCTTGGAATGATTGAACTCTCCCTTTCCTCCCTCCCTCCCAAAAGGAATAGGCTATTTAATTATTCACTACAGTGGGTGTATCTGTACCCTACTTCCATGTCTCTGGGTCTACCCTATTACTCAGACTGTTATGTTCATTATATTCCACAAATAAGTGAGATCATGTGATATTTGTCTTTCTCTGCTTGGCTGATTTCGCTTAGGATAATACTTTCTAGGTCCAGATTCTCTATCCCACTGCCCAACCCCACTCCAGATCTGCTGCTCCCACCGTCTCTCATTTCAGTAATTGGCAGCTCCATCCTTTCACTTGCCCAGGCCAAAAACCTTGGAGTCATCTTTGATCCTTCTCTTTCACATTTTATCTGTTATTCCATGAGTAAATCCTGTTGGCTCTGTGTTTAAAATACTTTCAGAATCTAACAGCTTTTTATCACTTTACCAATATTCTGTCCATACCAGCATCAGCCGAGATTACTGTGATCACTTCTTCATGCTCTTCTGATTTCTTTGCCTTCTTACAGTCCTTCTGAGGGCAGCCACCAGAGGGGTCCTTTATAATAAAAAGTCAGGTCGTGGGCAGTGGTTTCCCGTCTCAGTGGGAGTGGAAGGCTAAGTCCACTCCATGGCAGTCCTCTGCTCCACACAGTAGGATTCCTCTCCGACTTCATCTTTGATTCTCTCCCTCTTGTCTATTCATTCAGCTCCATCACTTTGGCCTTCTGCTGTTTCTCAGACGTGTTATTCATACTCTGATCTAGAGACTTTGCACTTATTGTTTTTTCTAGGTGAAACAAAGTTTCCTCAGATATCTACATGGTTTAGTTCTCTACTTGCTTTGGATTCTGTTTTTCAGGGGTCATCTTCTCGGTCAGGTCTTCTGTGATCATTCTGTGAGTCTGAAGCTCATCCCCTCCTCTTAATGTTGTATGTGTCTACTCTCTCTTCCTTTACTAGTATCAGCTTCATGAGGACAGAGACGATTTTGTTATCTATTATATTTCCACTGCCAAGAGTGACAGGCACATTAAGAAATTAATGAACTTAGCCCTGGCCAGTTTTGCTCAGTGGTTAGAGCGTTGGCCCACGGACCAGAGAGACCCGGGTTCGGTTCCCCCTAAGGGAACGTACCTTGGTTGCGGTTTGTCCCTGGACCTGGTTGGAGTCGTGTGGGTGGCAACCAGTCGATGTGTCTCTCATCGATGTTTCTCTCTTCCTCTTGCTCCACCTGAAGATAAATGCAAAAAAAAAAAAAAAAAAAAAAAGTCCTCAGGTGAGGATAAAAAAAAAAAAGAAATTAGTGAATTGAAATTTTAGCATGGGGCACACTTTTATCATTGCAGTGACACAGCTGCCTATTAACATTCTTTATTGGCCTGTTTTGAAGTTAGAGAGTAGATTCATAAAATAAAATTCATCTCAGTTGTGAGTAAAGCAGAAGCTGAAAAGACATATCCTATAGTAGTGTGGAAATGGTTTGTCAGTGACAGTTTCATCCATTAATTGAAGAGTGTGTTTTACTTTGTCATAATGAGGTGAATGCTTTTCTTAGAACCTTCTCTGTACCAAATCCAGATCCTGGAAGGAAAAGAGACTTACTGATTGTGGTTCTGTATTTTTATTTTATTTCTGTTTTAAGTAAAGACTTTTAAGTTTTTCTTTTAACCTTCTTCCCACTACAGCTTTTATTTATTTATTTTCGAACATTTTATTACGGAAAAGTTCAAACATATACAAAAGTAAAACAAATAGTATAATGATCCCTCAGATGAACATCACTTAAACATTTATGAGCTCATAGACAATCTTGATTCTCCTACGCATCTTCTCACCCTCCCTTAACCCTGATTGTTAATATTTACAATATTAGATATGCCCATTAGTATCTGGACATATTTAAAAGGGTTAAAGCATTAAGATTATGACTGGCAATTAAATAAGATATGAAGGAGGATATCTTGATGTAAATAGAATTTTTGTGTATTTCTATAAAACTGAAGTAAAATATAATAATTACTGCTTTTTTATTTTTAAAATACGTTTTATTGATTTTTTTAGAGAGAGAGATATAGAAACATCAATTTGAGAGAAAAACATGTATCAGCTGCCTCCTGCACACCCCCTAGTGGGGACTGAGCTGGCAACCTGGTCATGTGCCCTGATGGGGAATTGAACCGGGACCTCTCAATCCATGGAACGATGCTCAATCCATTGAGCCACACTGGCCAGGCTGCTTTTTTCTTTTTTTATCATTTCCTACTCAGTGAAGTAACTAGACCCTAGGTGGTATGAGTGTTAATAGAATGGTTTTATTGACTTCAGTAATAGAGAAAGGGAAATCCAATCAAATGATGTATCATTGGGGTAAATATTTGTTTTTTTTCTATGAGTCTATAGATTTCAGGTGGTAATATATGGATACTTTTCCCTTCATTTTCTTTTCTTTTTTTTTTTTTAATCCTCACCCGAGGACATTTTTCCATTTTTTGTTCAGATAGAGCGGGAGGGAGAGAGAGGAAGAGAGAGAGAGAGAAACATCGATGTGAAGGGACGCATCGAGGGGCTGCCACCCGCACAACCAACCAGGGCCGGGGACAAACTGCAAGCGAGGTACGTGCCGCGGGAACCGAACCCGGGTCTCTCTGTACCGCAGGCCGACGCTCCAACCGCTGAGCCAAACCGGCCAGGGCTCATTTTCTTATTGATAGACACCGGATTGTTTCCGATTTTTGTCTTTTGACTACTGCTGAGTCTTGTATATGGCTTTTGGTGTATATCTAGAATGTAATTGCTGATAAGAGAGTAGGCATTCATTTATTTGTTTGTTTTTGGGTTAATCCTTACCAGATGATATTTTTTCCATTGATTTTTAGAGAGAGTGGAAGGGGGTAAGAGAGATTTAGAGATTGAGAAACATCAGTGTAAAAGAGAAACATTGATTGGTTGCCTTCTGTACGTGCCCAGAGCAGAGACTGAACCTGCAGCCTTTTGGTGTATGGGACGACTCCATTGCCTCCCATACAACCCTGACCAGGGCCAGGGTCGAACTGCAACTGAGGTACGTGCCTTTGACCAGAATCGAACCGGAGACTCTGGTTCACGGACCTACGCTCTAATTGCTGAGACAAACCAGCCAGGGCTTTGTCGGTATCTTTAAAGATAGTTTCCAAATTGTTAAAATCAATTACACTTCTAGCAAAGTATGAGAATTCCAGTTGCTCCATATCTTCACCAACACTTGGTATTCCCAGTCTAATTTTAGCCTTTCTGATTAGTTTATGTTAGTGAGATTTTTGAAATTATTATTGTTTTTATTTTTACTATTTCTTGATGTCTTTAAACTATGGTCTAATATGTAGTGAAATGCATGTAGCAAGTTTGATTATTTAATTTTGATAAATGCATACATTTGTGTAATTATCATCATAGTCAGGATAGAGAACATTTCCATCACCATAACTCCCTTTTTCTGCTTGTAGTCAATCCCCCCACCATAGAGAGTCAACATTAGGTTTCCATCCTCATAGATTATTCTTTTTTAAAAAATTTTAATTAATTTTTTTAGAGAGAGAGGAAGGGAGAGGGAGAGATTGGCTGCCTCCTGCATGCCCCGCACTAGGGATTTGGCCCACAACCTGGGCATGTGCCTTGACCAGGAATCGAACTGGTGACCTTCTGGCGCATGGGTCAGTGCTCAACCACTGAGCCACACCAGCTGGGCCTCATAGATTATTCTTAACTTTCATAAAGATGGAATCGTACAGTATATATTCTTTCCTTTGCTTCACATACTGTTTCTGTTATTTGTGTGTGTTGTTGCTTGTATCACTATTTGTTTTTTTAAATTGCTGAATACTATTCATTGTGTAAATATACAATTTTATTATTCATCCATTGATGAATCAGTATTGTTTCCAGTTTATGGCTAGTATTATCAAAGCTGCCATGAGCATTTGTGTGCAATCTTGGTGTAGGCATCTATTTTTATTACTTTTGGGTATATAAGTAGGAATGAAATTGCTGGCCTATAGGGTAGATGGATATTGAACTTTATAAGAAGTTGGCAAACTGTTCTCTAATTGGGTTGGACCACACCCGCCAGTAGTGTATGAGAGTTTCAATTGCTCCACATCCTAGTTAATATTTGGTACTCTTAGTCCTTTTGGTTGTAACATTCTATTTGGTGTGAAATGGTAACATTGTGGTTTTAATAGCAGACAAAATAGAGGTTAAGGCAGAAAGTATTATGAGAGAAATGCAAATTAATCACAATGAGATATCATATCATAATACTTATTGCTTAAAGTCTATTTTTTGTCTGCTATTAATGTAGCCGCATCAGCTTGCTTTAAAAAAATTTTTTTTAAATTGATTTTAGAGAGAGAGGAGGTGGGGTGAGAGAGAGAGAAAGAAAGAAACATCGATGAGAGAGAAACATCAATCGTCAGCTTCCTGCATGCCCTCAGCTGAGGATTGAGCCCGAAACCTGGGCATATGCCCTGACCATGAATTGAACCAGTGACCTCTTGGTGCATGGGCCAGTGCTCAACCACTGACCCACACCGACCTGGTCACATCAGCTTTCTTTTGGTTAGTGTTTGCATGGTACATCTTTTTCCATCCTTTTATTTCCAACCTTCCTGGGTCTTTATATTTAAAGTGTTTTCTTTTAAACAGTATACAGTTGCATCTTATTTTTCAATCGTTTGACACTTTTTGTCTTTTAATTGGAATGTGCAGTCCATTACGTTTAATATGATTGTAGTTTATCATGTTGCTTTTTGTTTTCTGTTTGTCCATTTGTTTTTGTATTTTTTTTTGAAAATATTATTCTTTTCTTGTCTTTTTGTTGATATTATAGTATTTTTATTATTTTATTTCCTTTGTCAATTTTTGCATTATACTTCTTAGTGTCACTTAAGTGATTACCCAAGAAATTATAAAATACACCCTCAACATATAATGTACCATAAATTAGTACCTTTATCACATCCTGAACAATGCAAGAAATTTGCAGTATATTTGCATCATTTAATCCCTCCATTTTGCTATGTTTTGAAAGGTCTTATTTCCATATATGTTATAAATCCTACAAGACATTATTGGTGTTTTCAAAACAGTCAGTAGTCTTGTATTTAACCACATATTTGCTTTTTCTGGAACTGTTGATTTTTGCTGATGTTTATGTGCTTTCATATAGGATTATTTTCTTTCAACCTGAAGATTTCTTTCCTTTTTTTTGTTGTTGTTGAAAGTATTACAGATGCCCCTCTTTTTTCTCCATTGATGCCTGCCTTCCCGCTCCCACCCCCTTCCTGCCTTCCTCATGAAGATTTCTGGTAGTCTTTCTTGCCATTTGGTGAGGAATTCTCTTAGCTTTTGTTTGCTTTAGAATGTCTTTATTTTTATTTCATTTTGGATGAATATTTTCAATGGAAATAGAATTCTTGACAGTTTCGTTTTTGTTCTATACTTTAAAGATGCCCCTATATTATCTTTTTGCTTCCATAGTTCTATGAGTCTGTCTCATAGTTTATTTTGTTCATTAGATTCCACATATGAGTGAAATCATATAGTTCTTGTCTTTCTCTGACTGGCTTATTTCACTTAGCACATAATTCTCCCCAGGTCCATCCGTGCTGTTGCAAAGGTTAAGATTCCCTTCTTTTTTATGGCCAAGTAGTATTCCATTATGTAAATCAGGGGTGGGGAACCTTTTTTCTGCCAAGGGCCATTTGGATATTTATAATATCGTTCAGGTGCCAAACAAAATTATCAACTTAAAAATTAGCCTGCTGTATTTGGTCGGGCTAATTTGGTGAGGCCTGTAATGTTAATTGGCATTGATTCTTAGAGCCTTATACAGCCTGTGGACCAGATGTTCCCCACCCCTGGTAAATGTACCACAGCTTTTTTATCCACTCATCTATTGATGGACACTTGGGCTGCTTCCAAATCTTGATTATTAAATAATAAAGACGCTGCAGTGAGCATAGGTGTGCATATATTCTTTTGAGTTAGTGTTTTGTATTTTTTTGGATATATTCCCAGAAGTAGAATTACTGGGTCATAAGGTAGTTCCGTTTTTAATTTTTTTGAGGTAACTCCATACTGAGAAGTCAATGATACTTCTTACATTGTTCCCTTAGATCAGTTGTTCTTACCTGAGAGTGATTCTGCCTTCCTTTTAGCCCCTCTCCAGGGGACATTTGATGTCTGCATATATTTTTGTTGTTGCAGCCTGGTTGGGAGGAAGATCTGCTATTGCTATTTGGTGGGTGCTGCAGTTGTTTCTAAGCTTCTCACAATGCACAGAACAGTTCTTTACAACAAAAAATTATCTGACTCAAGTGTAAATAGTGCCATGATTGAGTAACCATGTCTTGTTTTTTTCTGGTTATTTACAAGATTTTCTCTCTATTTTTTATTTTTCAGTAGTTTGATTATGATATGCTTTTATCCTTCCTAGGATGGATTTTAATTCCTTCTTAGATATACTGTCTTTTTATCCATTTGTTTATGTTTTTATCTTTTTTCTTTAACTTATCATAGTTACTTTGAAGTTTTTATCTTCTAATACCACTCTTTGGATGATTATTGATCTTCCATTGACTTTTTTCTCTTTTTTTTTTTTTGTTCAGATAGAGTAGGAGGGAGAGAGAGAGAGAGGGAGAAACATCGATGTGAAAGGGACACATCGAGTGGCTGCCACCCGCACGACCAACCAGGGCCGGGGACAAACTGCAACCAAGGTACATGCCCTTAGCGGGAACCGAACCCGGGTCTCTCGGGACCGTAGGCTGATGCTCTAACCGCTGAGCCAAACTGGCCAGGGCGACTTTTTTCTCTTGATTATTGGCTACTTTTCTTGCTTCTTTGCATGTCTAGTAATTTTAAATTGTATGTTGAACATTGTGGGTGAAACTATAATAGAGGTTGTGAGTTATCTTTCTTTAAAAGATGTTGAATTTTATTCTGATAAGGCAGTTAAATTACTAGCTCTCCACTTTTATTCTGTTTAGGCCTGGTTTAGTGTTTTGTTAGGTTTGGTGTATTTTAATTTTTTTTTATATTTCTAGGGTGTTGTTCTTTCCTAAGGTGTGGCCTTTGTGGGTTACTACTGAATGTCTGAGGTCTTGCACCAAGATCTCTCAGATTTGGCTGGGCTCAGACTCCCAATAATTTTCTAGCATTGACCTTTGGAATCTCAGCTTCTCGGCATCTGTTTCCACTGACCTTTGGAATTTCAGCTTTCCAGCATCCATTTCCTGCCAGTTCTCCTGGTTTCATCTTATGTTTATGCAGCCCTGGAGGTGATCAGGAATTGACAGATTTTCTAAGCAGGGTTCTGAGGTTCCTTTTCCATGGCTAACTCCTAACCAGCATCCTGTCCCTACAATCCTAGCCCTCTTTTTCTAGAATTCCGGTCTCTGTTCCTTCTACCAAGTGAGATCACTGGTCTGTGTTTTGACTTCTGTTTAATATTCAACTCCCAGAAAATGCTTTTTGGGGAAATACTGGATCATCTCATGTTTCTCTTCCCTCAGGGATTGCAGCCTTATGTTGATTATAGCCTATGCTTACAAACAGTAGTTTTAGATATTTTGTCCAGATTTTAAAGTTATTTATGATTGGAGATTAATTCTCATACTAGCTATTCTCCATCGCCAGAATCTGAACTCCCTCCATTTTTTTTAATAGACAGATTAAATAATGATTTTTATTATTATTATTATTTTTATCCTCACCCAAGGACATTTTTCTATTTTTTGTTCAGATAGAGTGAAAGGGAGGGAGGGAGGGAGGGAGAGAGAGAGAGAGAGAGAGACAGAGAGAGAGAGACAGACAGACAGACAGACAGACAGACATTGATGTGAAAGGGACAAATCAAGTGGCTGCCACTCGCATGACCCAACCAGGGCCCGGGACCAACCGCAACCGAGGCACGTGCCCTTAGCGGGAACCGAACCCGGGTCTCTCTGGACCGCAGGCCGACGCTCTAACCGCTGAGCCAAACCGACCAGGGCAAGACTAACTGATTTTTAAAGTCAGATATACTGTTTTGTATTTATTTTATTTTAGAAGAAACACTTTGGTTTGTCATTATGGAGTAAGCTCTATATTTCATAGAAATAAGTGTTAATTGGGGAAACAGCTTATGTTATTTAATTTATTATGCATTACTTGGTATCTTAATTACTTGTTGTGTTTTTGTGCTTAAAGGAACCATTTGTTGCAGTTTGCCTTAGAGTCACCACCCATTTCTCCTGCTTCCTCCTCTTCAAAGAGCCTTGCTGCCAAACTACACACTCCTCTAGCCTTCAGACAGCCTTTAAAGCAAGCAAGCAGGTTAATGGAGAGTTTCTTGGTTAGAGAAACTGGTGGTTCTTCATCAGAGCTGTTGATAAATGAGAGTGAAAGCAAATTCAGCCCCCAAAAAGAAGTGAGCACTTCTGCAAAGACCAGAGAGACACCTTCTTTAGAAAAGATAGCCTCAGGCATCGCGGATGCTAATGTTCCGGAGGTACCTTCTACATCGACTTTGAAACAAGTTACTAAAGGTAGGACATGACTTTCACGGGTGTATTTTCTTACTTAATGGGAATCTTCTCATCCCACATAACATATGACTAAATGAGCAGCATTTTTGAGGGGGAGGAATATGAGAAAGGGCAAACCAGATCGCACCTCATAGCAATCGCAGTGGTGGAGTCGGTGCTTCAAAATATGGTTCTGCTTTTCTCTCAGAGAACAGCTCAGGCTGACTGCTGTAAAAAGGAAGCAATTTTAAGTAGTTCATACTTCGAGTATGGCAGTAGCTTTGTTTTTCAGCTTTTAATTCCCCCTAATCCTTTGGTGTCAGCGATATAACCAGAGATGCACAGCTGAATTGTAAAGGAGCACTTTTGTACACCAGTGAGCTGGGGGATCTCCCACATCCCAGCCCTGAGCCTCCTTTGTTCTTTGCTTATATAGGAACAAAGTACAGAAAAATCTACATTAAAAAAACAGAAAGAGCTACATTCAAAGAAAAAACTTACGTTCCTCCTGGCTCCACTTAATTGGCATCAGGGCTGATACAGACTTCTCCAGAGGAGAAGGGCGGTTGCAGGGGTCAGGGCAATCATTAATCTCTTTCTTTTTTTACGGTCCCTTCAAGTTTCCCAAGGCCATCATTAACCCCTTATCTTTATGGTTTCTCTGGGTTTCAGTCCCAGGTTTTTTAGAAAACTGCTTGGGTGTTTACATATGAGAATAACTGAACAGAATGAAGTTTGATTTTTTTTAAAATACCCCAGTTCACCTTCCTATTATTTCTAGTTTAATCTTAAAGAATGCTTTGTGTCTTATTATACCACTACTTGAACATTTCCAAGATGTTCTGACTGGCATTTACAGCCTACAACAATTTGACCCCTGCCCTAGTTGTCCAGATTATTCTCACTTCTGTCTCTCAAAAGTCCCTCTGCTCTAGCCAAGCTGATCTCCCCACTGTTCCTTGAATACAACCAGCAATTGGCAGCCTACCACCTGCAGGCCAGATTTGGCTTGCCACACCTATCTTTTTTCTTTTTTTTTTAATTCACCTGAGGGTATTTTTCAATTTATCTTCTGATAAAGTGGGAGGGAGGGAAAGAGCGAGGGAAACATCCACCCACCGATTGCCTCCTGCATGACCCTGACCAAGTGCAACTGAGGTATGTGCCCTTGACCGGAAAAAAACCTGCAACTCATTGGTCCTAGGGCTGAAGCTCTAACCACTGAGCAAGACTGGTCAGGGCCACACCTATCTTTGTAAATAAAGATTTTCTGGAACACAGCCATATCCATTTGTTTACATGTTGTCATGGCTGCCTTTATGCCACATGGCAAAATTGAGTCGTCCGGACAGAGACCACCTGGCTCACAAAGCCTGGAACCTTTACTACCTGGCCCTTTACTGACAATGTGTACTAACCCCATTCTGCCTTCTAGACTATCCAGATCTAACCATTCTTTGGTTTTGTTAGATAATATTGATAGCTCCTATCACTGAAGTATTATAACACATGTTTTCTGGACTGTGTGTATAATTTGCTTAACTTTTGATGAGTGGGTCAGCTCGCTTGACCTATTGTTTTATGTCTGTTCTTGCCAGTGAAGTTTAGAGGACCTTTTAGGCAGAAACTGTCTTAGACATCTTGGTACCCTCATAGCACACAAGTGTAGGGCTATTAGTGGTTATTACATTTAGATTGACATTAGTTTTTCAGTTCTCAAGTATTTAAATTTATAAGGATATGTGAATTTTACTTGTATTTCCTAACATTCCTTATATTTGGCTGTTCTGTCAATTCACAGTTCTCATGGTAGTGTTTTTAGCTTGATAGTTAATGTTTTCCTCTAGCAAATAATTTTTTTCCAATGAAATCTTACAATGAACCATAACATATAAAAGAGATAGAATAAGCCCCGCTGCCTTAGATCCGTGCTGCTCCACCTGATCTCCCTCTTCTTCCCTGTCTCACCCATGGTGGCCTCTGGGCCCCAAGGCACCTCCACAGATCCCTGCCACCCATGAAACAGTTTGGGAGTGATTGTTTCCTGATTTTAATTTACAAGCAAAAGCTTAATTAACTAATTCGTAGCCATTGAGTAATTGAGCAGTAGTTGGCCTACATCAGTAAATGCTTTAATCTAGTTACAGCACCACACCCTTTAAGTATGTCTTACTCAGGTTGTTATGATTGCTTCAGAACTGAACATGGAGGAATGGCTCCTAAGATTTGGGAAAACCTAAGATTAGTTTTATAGTTTGATTACACTTGGTAGAAAAGACTTAACCAAAGCATTTTCCAATAAACAAATTTCCGAACTTCTCTGCAGTATCTTCTTCTAGGCCCTGATTTGAATGATGACTTTCCACAGTTCAGTCATTACCCAGTAACCAGTCTGCCCAATGCCTGTTGCCCAGAGGTGTTGTTCTTTTTCTCTTCTGCTTTTCTAAGTACATGTTAATGTTGAGATTCCGTTTCTTATCATAATCTCTGAAAAATGCCATGTTACATTATTTTTGCCCATTCTGCAAACAATAAAATCTTTCTTTTTTAAAAAAAATACAGTGGAATGTCCTGTTTGTGGAGTTAGTATTTTAGAAGATCACATTAATAAGCATTTGGACAACTGTTTATCACGTGAAGAGAAGAAAGAAAGCCTCAGAAGGTAAGAAAGTTAAGCATAACCACTGAACCGCTTTAGCTAGGTGTCTCTTGTGCTTTATAAACATATAACGCACATCCTAATGACCAGCTGTCAGAGTCCCTCCCACTCGCTCTTTCCTTTGCTCTGTCAATGACCTCTTCCAGTCCCTTTGCCAAATAGAATTAGCTATTGAATTTAACTGCCAATAAAACTTGACTTAACAAGAAATTAGTGACTTTTTTTAACTTGTTTTCTTCTCTTAGAACTTTAGAGCTACCATGAAACCCCTTAGCCAAAGAAAGTAAGGTTAGACTCTGAATATAGAACATATAGAATCTTTTTTGGTTCTTAGGATGCTCAGAAGTTTTACAATTTTAAATAAAGCTTTTTCAAAACAAAATTTGTTTCTTCAAATAGGCAATTATATATATATGACAGTAAAAGGTACAAAAGGCTATGAGTGGAATGAAATGTTTTCCTGCCCCAGTCCCCAACCATACAGGTGGATAACTTAGAAGTTGTCAACGCAGTGTTTGCACTCAAACTTCTGTTTCGCCTCTCTTATACATCAAAATCTCAGTGATTCGTTCATGTAGGCCACTATTGTTATACATACAAATTGCTTGGGGATGAAATTTTAGTCAAAGTTATGTTGCAGGGTGTTAAGGAATCAGTGGTTAATGAAGATAATAAGGAAGCAGAAGCTGCAAATTAGAGGATTCTGGTCATGATGAAGGGAAGAAGGAAGATGATATGGTAGTTTGAGAAAAGAGTAAACATTAAGGTCAATGAAGATTTTATTTTTATTATATTTATTTTTTCTAATCCTAACCTGAGGATACTTTTCCATTGATAGGTAGATAGATTGGGAGGGAGGGAGGGAAGGGGACAGAGAGAGACAGACAGACAGACAGAGACAGACATCAATGTGAGAGAGACCGATTGATTGGTTTCTTCCCACACGACCCTCACGGGACCGGGAATTGAACCTTCAACTGAGGTATGTGCCCTTGACTGCGAACTTTGGTCCTCTGGCTGACACTCTAACCACTGAGCCAAACTGGCCAGGGCAAGGAAGATTTAATTTTTTTAAATATAAATTGGTTAAGCCTTCAGTCTCTTTCGACAGTCTCTAGGTAGAAAGCAGATGATAGATGATGGAACAAGGTCGGGAGCATGAGAGATGAAGAGTCCAGTAATGAAGTTATCCTTGGCATATAGAAAGAACCCTTCGATACCTAAATCTATCGGCAGGGGGTTGGGGAAGCACTGGCAGTAGGTAGTAAATCAGAGAGATTTGGAAAAGGAGAGGAGGGGAATTGAAGAAATTAACGGTATCTGGGAGTGGGGGTGAATAGAATGATTGGCTCTTATGTTTGGTCTGCTTTGAAGGACTTGGAAGAGTATTTTCCAAAAACCATGTTAATAAGGCATGACCTTTTATTGTTATTATTATCATTATTATTTTAATCCTCACATGAGGATATTTTTTTAAATTAACTTTTAATTAATTTTTAGAAAGAGGAAGAGAGAGAGAGAGAGAAACATCAAAACATCAACGTGAGAGAAACATTGATCGACTGCCTCTCATACGCACCCTGACTGGGGATCGAACCTGCCATCTTTTGGTGTTTAGGGTCACAGTCCAACCAACTGAGCCACCGAGCCACATTTGTTTTTAAAGAAATTACATCTTGGTTCTGGGGTCTGGTCACTTAAAAGAATCTGGCGTTTGCCCAGCTGGTGTGGCTCAGTGCTTGAGCGTCGACCCATGTACCAAGAGGTTGCCGGTTAAATTCCCGGTCAGGGCACATGCCCAGGTTGTGGGCCCAGTCCCCAGGGGGGGACGTGTAGGAGGTGGGCAGTCGATGTTCTCTCATTAATGTTTCTATCTCCCTCTCCCTTCTTCTCTCTAAAATCAATAAAGAAAAAATATTTTAAAAGTAAATAATAGTGTGAGATTTAAAATTTTTTTCCACAACACCCTGACAGTCCAGTTCCTCGATATGAATGACAACCCTTAACATATTCTGTGTAGATTCAGATCAGAGTTGATTCAAAAAACGCTCTTTTGATGTCTTCAGATTCTGAGGACCCTTAAATGCATTATTCAGTTTCATTAAATCATGAAGAAAGATCAGTGTCATTTTCATGTTTCGAGAAACATTTATTAGGCTTCATATTTAACATTCTTGGTAGAAATTGTTGATTTGTGCTGGTGCTTTTCATTGTCAGTGCCAGTGAACAGTACCGTTTTCTATTGAGATTTCAGTAATAAATTTAATCATCTGCCCTTGATAAATTAAATATTTTAGATATATAGACTTAATGGATAGTTCCTCACAATGTGCTTGTCTAAACTCCTACAGAGTGTTTCAGCTCTGGATATCTACTGTGCTTTTATTTAGCCATAATTGTATTGGTCTCGTTGAGTTTAATAGGCTGTCTCTCATTAGAAGAAGAGCAATTTTCAGAAAAATGTAATCTGTTGAGAGTTTACAGGTCTTTCTACAGTTAAATAGTCATCTCTGGCTTTTAGACTCTATTGATAGAACATAAAAGAAAAAATTTAGCCAGAAATGATGCTGTTGGTTAGTAGAGAAATGTCTTTTTTTTTTTTTCCAAGTCTGTATATAACTATAATTTCTCTTATTATGTTCTTTACTATTTGTATCAGATTTACCCTGTGGAACCTTATTAATATAGAGATAGGTCTCCCTAGAGTTGGGAGGGGTTTGGAGAAGTGAATGAGAATCTGCTTTTTATTTATTTATTTTATTTATTTTCTTTCTTTATTGATTTTAGAGAGAGAGAGAGGAAGGGAGAGGGAGAAAGAGATAGAAACATCGATGAGAGAGAGAACATTGATTGGCTACCTTCTGCATTGCCCCCTACTAGGGATTTGGTCTACAAGCTGGGCACATGCCCTGACTGGGAATCAAACCGGTGGCCTCTTAGTGCATGGATCAGCGCTCAACCATTGAGCCACAATGGCTGGGCAAGAGAGAATCTGCTTATTTCAAATAAGCTCTCCAGGTGGTTCTGAGATACACTGAAGTTTGGGTAGCATGGCCTTGTGTGAACTAGTTATATGGAAGTTCTTTGTAAAATCTTGTGTTTTTTTAATAAACTTATTGCTTTCAACTTTCTGTTAATTTTTACCTGAACCTTTGATAGTCTAATTTAAAAGTGATTACAGTATATACCTTAAATACATATTTATTAAAGCACCTAATTACCGTGGTTTTGACGAGGCGATGTACTCAGAGAATAGATTAAAACTCACTAACTAGTTCCTATTTATAAAATTGTCTCAAGTCATTGATATCCTTAGGTAGCTTGACTTCTATTCCATTTTAACAAATAATGTTTATTAATTGGTATTTTGGAAGAAGTAAAAGACAGTCATTTAATAGGGCTTTGTTAAATTTAAAATTGTAGCTTATAGTGCTTGCTGATCAGTATACTAATTATGAAAATATAATGAAGAGACATCTGGTGATCTTACTAATACACTTCTTGTAATGCCTTATATAGTTGTTAATATAATTAATTTAAGTTGAAGATAACAAAACTGTGCTCTTTTCATTGGTTTTAATGAGTTGGGTAAAGTTAGTCATCCCAACAGGTGTTCTTTTATTTCACCTAGTGCTTTTGCAAAATGATTGCCATGGTTTTGAGGGACAGTTTTGCTGGGGGATCAAAACTTTTTCTGTAGAAGCTATTATGTGATAATACTGTTAAATTCATAGCTTAATACTCAATAGCATTTGTACTCTAATCATCTGCTGTAACTGGTTTTACAGAGATTTTGCATGGAAGGTATAGGCAAATTTTAGGAAAAGCATGCTTTAAAGAGTTGGAGAATTGAATAAGTCTGCATAAGTGTAATTTTCAGTGAAGTTCTCATAGCATTTAGTTCACAAGCCTTCTGTGTAAGGCCCAAGTTGGCATCTTTAGGCCTGACCACTTTCTCTACGTTTTGGCTGTCACATAGACCCTCTATCTGAATGTCCTGCTGACACCTCAGATGCATCATGTTGAACACTGTCAACTTTATTTGCAAATTTCATCCTTCTTGTGCCCATTTTTATCTTAATGATTGTGTTCTCCCAGACACCCTGGTATTGAGTCAGAAGGTAAATTACTATTTTACATGAAAAGCATTTGATAATTCACAGTAACCCTCAGTGAGCTCTTTTCCCCCTTTTCAGTTCTGTTCACAAAAGGAAGCCGCTGCCCAAAACTGTATATAACTTGCTGTCAGATCGTGATTTGAAGAAAAAGCTAAAACAGCATGGATTATCTGTTCAAGGAAGTAAACAACAGCTCATTAAAAGGCACCAAGAATTTGTACACATGTACAATGCCCAGTGTGATGCTTTGCATCCCAAATCAGGTAAAGCAATAAAACAATGAGTGGTGCTTGTCCTGGATAAAATCACTTTGTGTAGCTCAAGGATTATAAACCACAGATAAAGATTTTAATAGACACATTTTTGAAAATAGATAAGACATGCAAATATATTCCTTTAGAAGTCACGAGAGCAGCGGTTCTCAACCTGTGGGTCGTGACCCCTTTGGGGGTCGAATGACCCTTTCACGGGTGTTGCCTTAGACCATCGGAAAACATAGTTCCAATGGCGATTCATAACAGTAGCAAAATTATAGTTATGAAGTAGCGACGGAAATAATTTTATGGTTGGGGGTCACCACAACATGAGGGATGTGTTAAAGGGTCGCGGCATTAGGAAGGTTGAGAACCACTGCACTGGAATATACTCTGATAAGCCAGCCTTTCTCTCAGCCAGACTCAGTCCCTGTTCTCCGCTCAGAAGCAGTCACTGCCAGTTTCTTATGTGTCTTTCCAGAGATAGTGTGGGATAAAGAGTTGATCTAGAGAGCCTGGGTTACAGTCCCATCTTTGCAGTTGTATGACTGGGTAACTTTGGGCAAATTCCTTAGGTTCCTTTTATCTCAGTTTTCTCATCCATAAAATAAGGGTTATGACACTACCTACTTCATAGTGTTTTTGAGAGGAATAAGTGAAAAAAATTCATATAAAATGCCTAGCCTACTTGCCTACCTTGGCAAGTAGTTAGTATTTGATAAATGTTGCCATTATGATTATTATACACAAACATATGTCCTTGATTATTATTGTTTTATAAAATTGTTAGTATTATATAGTTATACACCACATAACAACATTTTGGTTAATGATGGATTGCAGATAGGACAGTGGTTTCTTAAGATTATGATGGAGGTGAAAAATTCCTGTCACCTAGTGATGTTGTAGTCATTGTAATGTCATAGCATAACCTTGTAGTGTAACGCATTACACGGTACTTACCATTATGATACAACTACCTAGTAACATGTTGTACAGGCTTGTAGCTTTGGAGCAGTAGGCTGTGCCATCTGGCCTATGTGTGCAGTAGGCTATACCATCTAGGTTTGTGTATGTGCTCTTTGATGTTTGCACAACAAAATCGCCTAATGACACATTTCTCACAACGTATCCCTGTCAGGCACTGCATGACTGTACACACTATTTAATCATTTGTCCTTTTCATTTAACCACACATTTTGGAGTTCCTTCACTTATGAGCATACATAGAATTGCCAGTTTTTTAAAAAATTAAAATATTCAGCCCTGGCCGGTTTGGCTCAGCGGTTAGAGCGTCGACCTGCGGTCCAGAGAGACCCGGGTTCGGATCCCACTAAGGGCACGTACCTCGGTTGCAGTTTGTCCCCGGCCCTGGTCGGTCGTGCGGGTGGCAACCACTCGATGTGTCCCTTCACATCGATGTTTCTATCTCTCTCTCTGTTCCTCTCTCTCCCTCCCACTCTACCTGAACAAAAAAATGGGAAAATGTCCTCGGGTGAGGATAAAAAAATAAATAAATAAAATAAAAAATTAAAATATTCAAACAGAAAAGTATACAAATTACAAGTATTGCTTGGTGAATTACCATGAAATAAGTTTCACAAAGGGCAAATGTGTTTGTAAGCACTACTCAGATCACCACCAGCATCCCAGAAGCCCCTGTCTCCCTCTCCCGATTACTACCACCTTCATTCTCACAGATGACCACACTCTTGACCTCTAATGCTATATATTCATTTTGCCTGTTTTGGCCTGTATTTGATCTTTATAAATGGAATAATAGCCTAAGTACATTATTTTGTGTCTGTATTTGTGCAACATTATATTTATATGATCCATGTAATTTTGTATGCACCTGTGATTTTTTTAATTTTAATTTTTTTTTTCCTTTATTGATTTTAGAGAGAGAGGAAGGGAGAGAGAGAGATGGAAACATTGATGAGAGAGAACATCATTTGGCCGCCTCCTGCACAGCCCCCACTAGGGATCAGGCCCACCACCTGGGCATGTGCCCTGACCGGGAATTTAACTGGCAACTTCTTGGTGCATGGGTCAATGCTCAACCAGTGAGCCACACTGGCTAGGCCCCTTGTGATTTTCTTATTGTTGCTATAGAGTATTCTAATGTACGCATATATCTCACTGTGTATTCAATGGTTGATGGCCATTTGTATTTTTCCACTCTTTGGCTCGTAAGAATTGTGCTACTATGAATATTCTTTTGGGTGTCTCTGTGTACACAGGCACACAAATTTTTTGAATATATATACCTGGGTGTGGAATAGTTATGTTTTTGCAAGTGTTTGGCTTTTGTGGATACAGTAAAAAACTCAGTACCAATGTACATTCTCATCAGAAGGGTGTGAGAGGTCCAGTTTTTTCACATCCTTAACAACATTAGTATAGTCAGTTTTCCATTTTGGCTATTCTAATGGATCCATGGTAGTATTTCATTATGGTTTTAATTTACATTTCCCTAATGAGTTACAGTGTTCAGCACATTTTTACATACTTATTGGCCATCTGGATATCCTCTTTGGTGAAATACCCATTCAGGTCATGCCTCGTTTTTTTGTGCTGTGGATTTATTTTCTTTTTTGTTTTGTGGGAATACATGACATTTTGGGGGTACAAATCTTGCTGGATGTGTGTATATTTAATCCCTTCCATTTCATCTTTTCACTTTTAATGGCTTCATTTGAGAAGACGTTCTTAATTTTAATATAATCCAGATGGTTGCATTTTTCCTTTGGGTTAATGCTGCTTATGTCCTTGCCTACCACAAGATCATGAGGATCTTCTCGTGTTTTCTTCTGAAAGCTTTATTGTTATTGTTTTTACATTTTGACCTACAGTTTATCTGGAGTTGATTTTAGCATATGTTGAGGTAGGGAGTGAAGTTCTTTCTTTTTTTCATATAGGGAGCCAATTGACAGCATCATTTATTGAAAAACCATTCTTTTCTCTACTGAATTGTCAGTATGTCTTCATTGGAAATCAGCTAACTCTATATGTGTGGGTCTAGCATTGTTTATTCAGTCATTTATTAGCAGTGTACCATCTTAGTTACTTTATAAGTAATTTATACTAGATCTTGCTGTCTGGTATGTACTTCTTTCAACTCTGTTCTTCATTGAGATTGCCTTAGTTTTTCTAGAATAAGCTTGCAAGTTTTCATCAAGAAACAAAGACCTGCTTGGATTGGGATTACATCGAGTCTATAGGTCAGTTTGGGGAAAGTTGATAACTATACAGTATTTGAATCTTCCAATTCATAAATTAAGTGTGTCCCTTTGTTTTTCATTTCTGTCAGTAATGTTTTATAATCTTCATTATGAAGGTTTTATCTTTTCTTTAAAATGTTTTTATTGATTTTTTAGAGAGAAAGAGAGAGAGAGAGAGAGAAACGTCCATGAGAGAGAAACATCAATCAGCTGCCTCCTGCATGCCCCCTATTGGGGATCAAGCCCACAACCTAGGCACGTGTCCTGACTGGGAATCGAACTGGGACCCTTCAGTCCATGGGATGACACTCAGTCCACTGAGCCACACTGACCAGGCAAGGTTTTATCATTTTAAAGACTTATTCATAGGTATTTGATGTTTTTGATGCAATTTAAATGGTGTCGTATTTTAATTTTTTTTTTTAATCTTCACCTGAGGATATTTTTCCACTTATCTTCAGACAGAATGGGAGGGAGGGAGGGAGGGAGAGAGAGGGACACATCGACTGGTCACCTCCCACAGGACCCCAACCAGGGCCGGGGACAAACCGCAACTGAGGCACATGCCCCTGACTGGAATCGAACCCACAACTCATTGTTTCACAGGTCAACGCTCTAACCTCTGAGCCAAACCAGCCAGGGCAGTGGTGTCCTATTTTAAAAATGTCAATATGTATTTATTTGTTGCTAGTATATAAAAATACAACTGGCCCTGACCAGTTTGGCTCAGCGGTTGCAGTTCGTCCCTGGCCCTGGTCAGGGTCGTGAAGGAGGCAACTGGTCGATGTGTCTCTCTCACATTGATGTTTCTCTCTCTCTCTCTCTCTTGCTCCCACTTGACCTGAAAAAATATCCTCAGGTGAGGATTAAAAAAAAAATTGTACAGTATATAGTTTTTTTGTATGGCTTTCACTTAGCAAAATGCTTTTGAGATTTGTCCCTCTTGTTCCATTTATCAGTAGTTCGTTCATTTTTATTTTATGACTGTATTGCATTTTAATGGACAACCGGACTGTCTCCTGTTTTGGCTGTTGTGGGTAAAGCTGCTGAGAACATGGGCTTACAGATTTTTACATTTCTCTTGGATTAATACCCAGGAGTGGAATTGCTGGGTCATGTGGTCAGTGTGTGATTAAAAATATAAAAAATTGCCTTGCTGTTTTCATATGGCTACCTCATTTTGTCTTCTGTGAGAGGTCCATTTGCTCTGTTTAGCCTTTAACTGGTTTTTAGGACTGAGTGGCAACTTCACACTCTTTACAAGCAGAGCTGGAAAATGGAAGTTCATTTCATTTAAATGAAATCATGCAGTAGGTGGCCTTTTGTGATTGACTTCTTTCACTTAGCATATTTTCAGGGCTTATTCATGGCCAGTACCTCATTTGTTTTTATTACCAAATAATGTTTCATGGTATTGATATGCCACTTTTTTTGCCCATTCATCAATTGATTGACATCTGGGATTTTTTACTTTTTGGCTGTTATGAATAGTGCTGCTGTGAACATTCATGTACACTTTTTTATGTGGACATGTTTACATTTCTCTTGAATATGTACCTAGGAGTGGAATTGCTGGGTCAACTGATAACTCTCCTTGAACATTTTGAGGAGCTGCAGACTGTCTTCCAATGGGGCTACAACATTTTACATCCCACTGGGAGTGTGTGAGGGTTTCAGTTTCTCCACATCATTGCCACCACTTGTTCTGTCTGTCTTATTGCAGCCATCCTAGAGGGTGTGAAGTGCTGTGTCATTGTGGTTTTGATTTGTATTACATTGATTTTT